AATGCCTTGCAAATATCATGTTGGCCAGAACCCATTCTGAAAAATACTTGGTGAGCAACCTACTAACATGACTCAATCAAAAGAAAAAAAAAGAAAAGAAAAAAAAAAAGCAAGAAGGCACTGAGCATTCAAGAAGTAGAACAAAGAGAATAAGAAGAAAATTAAATAACTCTGCGGGTGAACTAAGAGCTATTGCTACCTCCTGCTTCTTTACTCTAACAAATCACTATCTCACATTAGTTGAATCAAACTATGACAACAATTCACAAGAAGTAGAAAGCTCATATAACATATAGCAAGGGAAACACATAAACAATAAACAAAGTAGTTGAAAATTGTACTCCTCCATTAATTGAAATATTGATTATTATGACCTTGGCTACCAACAAGAATTCTTACTCTCTCTTACTATCTCATATTCTCACCAGGAGATCTACCAACAAAGTAATGAATTTGAATGCAACAAGGAGATCTGTCTGCACGCATCAGGAAAGAAAAGGAAAAAAAAAATCAACTAATTAACTGCAGCAGACAAATCTTGCAAAACACTCACAGCAGAAATAAAGAGCTTTCATAACCAAAAGCAGACAATATTTTGTTGACATTCAAAGCCTAAATCTGACAGAGTAACCTGCCGGCATAAGAAAGCAGGAATTTGAATTACATCAGCAACCTTCCCTACTGGTGGGGAAAAAAAGCATATTGCATTGTGAAAAGAAAATATTCATCCATACCTTCAAGCCTTTAAAGTCAGGACCACAGAATGATTTGGAGGAAGTTGGGTTAACTTTATCAAAGCTAGACTTAAATACAAACTTCAAACCAAGTCTATATATAGTACATAAAGATTAAAAACCATATTTATCAAATATCACTAAAAAAGATTAAGGAATGTAAATATGCAGGAAACAATGAACACCCATATCAAGCAGTAACATTTGAGGATGTGATATAGTTTAGAAAGCCTAAAACATCAACAAATTACAAATACATTAAGATAAATCACACCATTAGCCATGGTTCACCAAGCAAGGTGTATCGCAAGCATATAGTGATAGTGTTTTTCCTAAATGTTTGTCAAATTAGTGCTGGACATTCTGAAATTTTTAAATTAATTATATATATCTAACTCATCAAAATAAACCTAATCCATCAAAACACTTAACCCATCAAATTATATATATTCTTAACACATCAAATTCAATCTATTCATCAAACAACGTATTTATCATAAACAATTTATCAAAATACCTGTTTCACACTTTCACACAACATTTATTAAAATTCAAAATTAAATAATTAATATGTCAAAATTCAAAATAAAATAATAATAATCAAAATTCATAACCAAAATTCATACTTCTACTCATATTATGCCATAATCCCAACAAAAATAACAACTAAATTCATATTTTTACACATATTAGGATAGAACAACAAAAATAACAACAAATAACTAAAATTCGAAATAAAAATTATAAAATTAACAAATATAATATATATTACAATGATAATTTAAAAAATAATTTTAACAAAAAAAAATAAAATTACCTGCACGTACACAGTTCGGCGGACCAACTGCCGACGGTGGAAGTCACACAAGCAGTCGCGGCTGCGGCTGACGAGAACTGTGGCGGTGGCGGCGTCGTGGGTGGCTGATGAGAAAGGGGTTGGAGTCCTTAGCTTGGTGGCGACGGCGGATTTTGATCGAGGCTGAGGGAGTCGTGGTGAGAGAGGCGGTGTCAGCGGCGTTGTAAGAGGATGAGGGAGGCGGTGTCGACGGCGGAGGTGTGATCTGTGGTGAGGAGCGCAGCGGCGGCGGAGGAAGGAAGAGGCGTTGATGAGGCGTTATCGACGACAGAGGTCTGTGATGAGGCGTTGAGGAGAGGTGAGATCTGAGAGATGCACAACTAGGTCTAAGACTCTAAGAGCGAGATGTGATTTATTTTTGTGATCGTTTTTTTGTTATTTATTTTTAAAAATATTTGTTTCCAAATCTAATTTCCAATGCCCTTTCTACAAGCAAGGGAAGTTGAAAGTATATCCCCTTGGAAAATAGCTACCCTTTTTTAAAGAAGGGTAGCGGTTTCTTATTCATTTATTTACAAGTATGCCACCGTCCCTTTCTTTTTTAGCAATACACTACCCTTGTTTAAAGAAGGGTAGCCTAATGTCATATTTCTTTGCTCCATTTTGTACTAGTGATGGGGGGTTTGAAACATCGCCCAAGTGGTTGCTAGTGTGGGCCAAAGGGTACCAGCTACCCATTGCCAGATTATAGGAAAAAAAGTGAAAAAAAAAAAAATAAAGAAAATAAAAGTGAATGCTTAAAGAGGGAAAGATAGGACGCCCCTCGTCTCGAGGAAATGAGGTGGCAGTGAAGGTTTGTAAATCTTCACAAGGGGAATAATCACTTCGAAAGACCTAACAAGATCAGAGTCAATTAACCTTGAGGCTTTGCACAAGAGAAGAGCTAAGGTGCAAAACAAAAGTACTCGTGACTCATGGTGAGCCACTTGTGAAACACCATCCGCAATGACTTATGACTACGAGGTGAGGATCCCTATAAAGACAATGATACCACCAGAACGGGCTATATAGTACCAACCTGAGCAAAATGTGAAAAATTTGAGGGCCGGTCAATCTTTAGGTCAAAATATATTAATATTATCTAAACTAAATTTTAGGTGAACTTAATAGGTTATTGGTTCAGATATATTTTTAGTTATGTTATTGATGGAGTATAATGTATTGGGCTTGGCCCATGTAGATTAGAGAGTGTGAGCCCAAATAGATGGGGAGGGAGGCTCACGCCTCACACGCATGGGCTTGCATGCATGCCTACATACACGCATGGGGCTGCGGACATGCATGCACGCATGTATGCGAGGGGGCGGCTGCATGCACGTACGGGTGACGGTTGCATGCGTACATGTTGGCGGCTACGCGCACGGGTGACGGTTGCATGCGTACATGGTGGCGGTTGCGAGTACAAGGTGGCAGTTGCATACGTGCGGGATGACGGTTGCAGGTGTACAAGGTGCCGGTTGCATACGTACGGGATGACGGCTGCATGCGCATGGAGTGGCGGCTACGGAGGGCGTGCGTATATGAATAGGGATCCTGGGAGAGTGCGCGACAAAATCAATCCAGTCTGGGTAGTTGAGGGTACGTGCGGAGAGGGGAGGACACGTGTAGTATGGTGGAAGCTGGAGGCCTGTAGATGTCGCACACGTGGGTGGCGTGAAGGAATTCCGATGCAGTATAAAAAGGAGGGCTGCAGTAAGTTTAGGAGGGGGGCAAGAGACGCAAAACACTTGGTAGCCTAGTGGCATGAGTCTTCTCTCTCTCCTGGTTGGTCAAGGGATCAATTCGGTATTATGTATGTAATTCAGATTTCTGTCTATTTGTCTAGTTCCTTTTTCACACTGTACTATTACAGTTGTTATATTATAGACCGCGGTGCATAATCGATTATGCACCGCGGCCCATATACGGCGTTGTTTCTTTAAGTAAAGAAACGGCCCGCCGTTAGAGTTAACGGAGTCCGTTTGTTTGGTGTATTAAACACCAACTGACACTACAGTATATCCAAACCGACACTGCAGTTATATCAAAATGATACTGTAGTTATAGTGAAATGAAACTGCAGTGTATATAAACTGAAACTGAATAACATTTCACATATTTGAGTGTATATTGTACAATGAAGCTGTAATTATATCAAAATGATCATGTAGTTGTGTTTTAATAAAACTATAGTGTATATAAAATAAAATTAAATAACATTTTCACATATTTGAATCTATAAATATCGAATGAAACTATAGTTATATCGAAATGAAACTGTAGTTGTGTTCAACTGAAACTGCAGTGTATACAAAATGACACTGAATAACAGAGTTACTTTTTGCAAAAGGGTGCGAAACGGCGGAAATAAACACTGTTAATTTTCATTTAAAAAAAAAGACGCGCGGTGCATAATATAATTTGCCGTACTATTATTTCTAGGCCTGCGACATTGGACTTGTGTGCATTCGTGTGGGCCCCGAATCCCATCGACAATAATAGCTCTTTTATGCCGTTCTATATTTCCCATATCCAATTTACACTACTGGAAATTATGGAATTTCCGACCACCTGAAAGTGATCTTAAATCAAGTTGAAAGCCTTGTTCCGACCACTTTTGGTATCCGGAAAATCCTTTGTTGCTATTTCCGACCACTTTTTGGACTTTTTGGTATCAATTTAATTTAAGATTATTTTTAGGTGGTCGGAAATTCCATAATTTCCAGTAGTGTTATGGTGGACCCGGTTTCGATAAAACCACCAGTTATATATGCATATAAATCTAGTTTGGATATAAAATGTAAAGTCTAATAGATTTAAAATTAAAAATTATATTCATTCTATTTAATTAGAGCATATACAAAAATATTTTAAATATAAGGTTAAAAATTGCTAGAAATTAAATTTGTTAAGTCTTACATATATTAGATTTAAAATTAAAAGTTATATTCATTCTATTTAATTAGAACGTATACAAAAATATTTTAAATATAAGGTTAAAAATCGCTAGAAATTAAATTTGTTAATTTAATTTATAATGTTAAGTCTAACAAAATAAATTTGAAAAAATAAGTGTTAGTAAACAAGTTTTCTAAACAGCAATAGAAAATGAAAATTGAAAATTTAGGACAATTTCCTAAGTACCCAAAATGTCTACGCACGTAGAATAGTAGAATAGTAGAATAGTAGAATTTGGTGAAGAAAAGACATTTTGAACATTTTATACTAAACTTGATTCATTTAAAAAAAAAAACAATACATTTGCTTGAATTTATAAACACTATCACCTTTGGTCATTTTATTATTATTTTTATTATTATTATTTTTTTTCAGTTTAGGATTTCTTGTTTGACTAGGGAAAAAAACTTTAAAAAAATGGAATCGATTATGAAAAATGGATATCCAGAATTTTATTAAAATTCTGAAAAGTATATAGCAAAAGAATAGAATTTATTTGTTCATTACAAAATGGAAAAACATAACGCCACCACCACCACCCGAAAAAAAAAAACAATACATAAATGTATTTTGCATCCAAGATAAACACCATAAAATGCTTTATATTTCCCCATTACTTCTCAATTGCCTCGACATTACCATCTGAGTTTGGCTGGGAAATACTGGAAGCAAAGAAAAAATAATCCAATTATGAATAATTCACAGTAAAAAAAAAAAAAAAGAAAAAGAAAGTAATTCATATCAATATTGACAAATTTCACCTTTTCAATGAGAGAAAGGTAATAAGGTTTGACTTCTTCTACATCGATTCTGACTTTGCTCTTGCTATATAGATCATATTTACTGCAAAATTGTTTAACATACATTAATGTATTAGATCAAAGAGGTTTAATATTAGAGAGTAAAAAAGAAAAGAAATTTAAGGGAGAGTAAAAAAAGAAACACTACATACTTGAAGATTTTGAGCCACTTCATGTTTTCTTTATCCTCTTCATTCATCAAGTGTGTATATGCCCCTTCCCTATGCAATGCTGTTCAAAAAACAAAAAGTGCAATTCAGAGATTATGTTAGTGAGTTAATTATAAGAAATTATTAAAGAAAATGAACTAAATAGGTCAAACAAGAAAAAGACTTCAAAAATATAGTAATATAAAAGTTAAGGCCCTATTACTAGTTAGCTTATCAGCTAATTTTGGATTATTTGACCACTATTAATTGTTTGACTTAGTTAAAAAATAATGTAAATGTTTAGTTAATTAGTTTCTTGTAACTCCAAAACTAATTAATTTAGTTAAAATAATGTAATGTTTAGTTACAAGAAACTAATTAACTAAAACATTTACATTATTTTTTAACTAAGATTCAAAAAGCTGATCAGCTGATAACAATTATACTAATGTTATCAACTAGTTATACTCTCTAATTAATCAAAACAACTAACAGTTAACAATTATCAGCTAACAACCATTTATACAACAGGGTCTAAGAAAAAATTGAAACGCACCATAAAAAGAGTGATAGCGGATAATAAACAATGCTGCAGAAGGAAGAGTTGTTCCATTTTCCTTGGCCACCAAATACATGTAGTCATCATGACCCCAAGACATGAGTACTTTGTCTAAACCACAACCTTCTTCATAGACTCCATTTTTTGTGTTGTAAAGGGTGTTGTTGCAGTCTGGGTTTTCCTTGAAATACTGCATGCATGCATGCAATTAAGGGCCAAAAAGAAAAATATATTAAGCACTCCCTAAATCTCAAAGAAGTTTTATCAATTTTGGTGGGGATAAGATGAACTGAAGCTAGGGAAAAAGGGGGAAAAAAACCTTGTGGTGAACAATGGATTCATCAAAGGCACATCCAAGAGGGAATGTGTCACCAACCACAGCCCATTGAGGAAGCTCCCCAAAGCTAGGATGCAGAAGCACTTTTCCAAGATCTGTCACCCATGCATGCAAATTTCAGACATTACACATTTATATTTCACTAATATTGATATCAAATTGAAAAATGAATAATGTATTCCGATCCTCCTCAACAAAAAGTCTAATAGTGGGCAACAGTGTGAGGCCCCCACTATTAGGTAGGGCATTTGACCCTGTTTGAGTTCGGGTGATTTACCTAAAAGCTTAATAGTGAGCAACGGTGTGGGGGGCCCACTATTAGGTGGGGCATTTGGCCCTGTCTGGGTTCAGGTGATTTACCTAAAAGCTTAATAGTGGGCAACGGTGTGGGGGCCCACTATTAGGTGGGGCATTTGACCCTGTCTGAGTTCAAGTGATTTACCTAAAAGCCTAATAGTGGGCAACGGTGTGGAGGGCCCACTATTAGGTGAGGCATTTGGCCCTATCTGAATTAAAGTGATTTACCTCTTCCACATTTCTGTCAGTCGGAGGTGTGGGGCCCTTAGGATTTGAGATTTAACCTTTTGGGAGAAGAAGATCGAAAGCGAAATAGTATGTGAAACTAGGAATTGAACAATGAGTAAAATGAATACATATATATATACCATGGATGAGGGCAGTCAAATGCAACCAAGGTTGATGAGGGTAGTCTTTTCTAATGGCCTCAGCAGTCTGCAGCAAGTGCTCAATCTGTGGTTCATCCAAGTCAGGATCACTATCATCCACCACATCATTCAGTAGCTCACAGCATTCCCATATGCTCATCTCTACTTTATCCAATCTCCCATAATCCTCCCTCATCCTCTTCACCTATAAATTATTCAATTAATTTGATAAACACAAATGAATGACACAAGAAATTAATTAAATTGCATATATTATTGCATGTACTCACAAAATCATATGTTTGGTTGATGTGTTGCACTCTATAAAACTCCTCCACACTCTTCTGTCTCTCACTTTCTGCATCATAGGCCCTGTATGTTCACCATTTAATTAATGTTTGTCTTACATACATACATATATAGAAAAGGATTTCACTGCATGCTTTAATTTTCTGCCTAAAGTAAGATAAAATCATAAAATATAATGTGAATCAATTATTTAACCTGAAAGATTGACCAAAAGAATTCATCTCTGGGGCTTCAAATCCTCCATTGGAAGACATTAATGTCTTGGGCACAACAAACCCTCCATCCAAAATCAGTTCATTAGCATTATCAGAAGGGACGGCTTGTTTCTCCTCAACTAATCAAACACATAAAAGAAAAATAACAACATTACTACCATGAAAATCATATAAATTGTCAGGTTTTACGAAAATACCCTCTTCGGGGTTCCCCTCTGTAGGCTTAGACTTGAGCTTAACAAAAATCTATAAATCTGATAGTCGTGAGGAGACAATAACCTCTTTGGAGTCCCCTCTGTAGGCTCAGGCTTGAGCCTAACAAAAATCTATAAATCTGATAGTCGTGAGGAGACAATAACCTCTTCGGAGTCGTCCCCTCCCCGTTGAATAGAAAAAAAACCCTAAATACAATACATTAAAAAGACAAAGAAAACGTACCATGTTCTGCTGGTTTCTCAATGATGAGGATTGTCATCCTGCCAAGATCTTGGAAAAGGGAATAGGGAAAAGACAAAAAGAAATAAAGAGAAAGCTGGAAACTCAATGATTGAGAGTGAGAATAGAATTGTGAGAAGGTTTAGGGGGGTTTGGGGGTTTTATAGTAGTCGGATGATGAGAGGTCCTTCCTTGAAATTTAAGATGTTGGGAGTCCTTAACTGAAAACCTACCCAAAATCCCTTTCCATGTAAGTTTATACTTTATCCCTTTCAAATCCACATGATTCAGATCCACGTGGGAATTTATAATTGCCACGCTCCTCCCTAGACCGTGTGAAGACAACATATTCAAAACTGCATTCATATTTCATTCTTGATTGCAAGAATGTGTAGAGAACGCGACGACAAGAGAGTAGTGGAGAATAAGAAATAGATTGCTGACTCTTCTATACGTGTAACGTGTATGGAAAAATTAAAAGTTGATTATGTGGGCTCCACGACTACACTGACGCGGAACCAAGTCATATGTTGCGACGTCATAATGCCCAGTGCATTTCCATCAACTGATTAAGCCCAATTTTTTTAGAGGGAGAACGGCAATCGTTATACCCTACACCACGGCGCATATAGCACTGTGCGCCGCGCGCCTCTCAAAACGACGTCGTTTTGGGAGGCGTGGTAAGAAGTTGCTGGGATTATATGTATTTGTTCACACAGTTATGTGTATTTGTTCACACAGTTATGTGTATTGGTTCATACAGTTATGTACATTTTTTATACAATTATGTACATTCTTTTTATACAATTATGTACATCCGAATCAGAAAATTTGTGTGCATTATGTTAATAGTTGATGTGTACTATGTTAAAAGTTTATGTTTATTATGTATTATGTTAGATTATGTGTATTATCTTTTAAAAAGAGTATGTATATTTTGTTATATAATTATGTACATTCATGTATACAATTATGTGTATTCTAGTATAACATTATGTACATTCTTGAACAGCGGGTTTTTTTTTTTAAAGAAAAAACTACTGCCATTCACTGGGGCGGGAAATTTCAAAAAAAAATAAATAAATAAAACGACGTCGTTTTGCATCTGGGCGCATTGTGCAACGCGCGCCGTGGTGTAGGATATAAATTGCCGGAGAACGGTCAAATAAGCCTTTGTATTATTGTCAACTGCTCAATTCCCATCATGAATTAAATTAAAGGTTAATTAATCACACTTACCTACTAAATTTGTTTAATTATTATTTTTTTTTGTAGGTAATTGACTTTTTTTTTGCAGGTTACCAAATCAATTATTAAAAAAATAATTTCAAAATAATTAAAAAAAAAAAAGAATATAGCCACCGGCTGTCCGACGAGGACAGCTGATGGCTTTATTTATTTATTTATTTTAATAATTAAATAGGTAACCTGTTATTAACCTGTAAAAAAAGTCAATTGAACAAATTTAACTCGTAGATGAACTTATTTGGCACTTAATTTAATTCGTGGTGAAAATTGAGCACTTCGCAGTAGTAGATGGACCTATTTGACACTTGTGCCTTTAGAGTAACATTATCACGAGTTATTTTGGAAAGAATATCATATCAAATTGCTTTTGTTTAAAATAATTGTTGATGTAGAGATGAATTAATTAAAAAAGAATTGGCATGTAAAGACCTAAAATAATGTCAAATTTAAAAAAATAATAATAAATAAAATAGGAAGGGAGGTACGCGCTTGGCGTGCACCCTGCGCCCACAGCTGGTGTCCGCTGGGCGAGTCAGAGTGGCCGCCAGTTGGCGGCCACTCTGACTTTTTTTAATTTTTTACTCTTTTTTTTTTTTTTAAATGTCATTTTTTTTCACTCTGACTTTTTTTAATTTTTTACTCTTTTTTTTTTTTTTTTTTAAATGTCATTTTTTTTTTTTAATTTTTACTGTTTCTTTTTTCACCCACATTTTTTCTCTTTCCTAATCACACTTACAAAAACCACTCAAATACCACACAGGGTTAAACTAATGTAGATGCTCTTAGAATAAGGACATAGAATGCATTTGATTTTAGAGCATCTATACTAGTGATTTTTTCTTGATTTTTTGTTGGGCTTAAGGTGAGCTAAATGATAGAGAGGAAGGAGAGAGATGGCATTTTGATCTCCAAAAATACTACATGCACTCCCAAAAACATACTCCCTACTTTTACTTCCACTTGTGTTCAAATTTGATTGGGAGAAGAAAAAAAATGGATAAACATCATGACCCCTATAAAATTGAACAATCAAAGCATGCCAAATCGTATGGAGTACAAAATGAGAGTAGAAAATGGTAGTACTATTCTTTGATCTCCTACAAGGTAAGAGTTTTTGTGAACTCCAGGAAGAGAGAATGAAAGAAGGCATTTCTTTTGTGTCAGAATGTATTTTTCTTTTTTTCTTTCCCCTTTTTTTATTTTTATTTTTTTTTCTTCTCTTTCCTTCATCTCTCTCCTACTTGGTTTCTTAAATATTGTGCAAAAAAAAATCAATTGATATGAATGCTTTAAAGAATCCATAATAGATTGCTTTTTGCACAAAAATTAGAAGCCATGAAGGATAGAGATGAGAGAGAGAAGAAAGAAAAATAAGAAAAAAAAAAAAACAAATCTAACAGTTGCAGACTTGCAGGAAAAAAATAGCTAGACGCGCCAGCCGGCGCGTGTACTACACGTGCCCGACTGGCTGCGTCTGTGCATGAAATGCACACAACCTTGGTGATTTCTGAATTTTCTCTCTTATAGTGAGGCCCACAAAAAACTCCAATTTAAAGGACCTTGCACCTACCCTCTATCTTTTCACACTCTCTCATTTATATTGACATTTTTTGTCTAAAAAATCGTAAATAATCCACAGATGTGATGAGAAAGAATAATCATATGAAAGGCACAAATGTGCGTGTTTTGCGCACATACAGCGCCCAACTGGCACATTAATTGTTTTTTTTTTCTTTTGCGTCAGAATAACTTTTTCCTTTTTTTTTTTTTTTTTTTTTTTTTTTTTTTTTTTTCTCCCTCCTCCCTCTTTACTTGACTTTCTAAAATATTGTGCAAAAACCATGCCATTCGGATGTTAGCTGTAAACTTATCCTTTTCTGACTCAACAGCACACACAAAAATGCTTGCAAAAAGGAATTTTGAAGAAGTAATTTAATACATGTCCGAAATACTAAGTTATTTTGCTAGGGTGTTTCTAGAATTTGTTTCAATTTAACCAAAATATTAATATACAACAACGGATAATAAATTAGTAAGAAAATGATATCTGTACTTTCATGACGTATAATTCTCGCCATATAATATACAAATTTTATTGAATAAATAAAAGTGAATGAATAAAAACAGTCATCCACTTTGCTATTTAAATCAATCAAAAAATGACACCTCAACAGGGAATTATAAAAATGGAATAAAAAGTGAGAGTACATGTAGCTAGGTATGAGTAATATTTATAACTAATATTATTCACTTTGTTTTGCAATTAAATGTTTTTTTTTTTTTGAAAGGAAGATATAAATGCATTAATAATCACCCAAATGGAAAATACAGGTCGGTGGAATAGACAGCCACGACCCTAGGACAGACGGAGAATCAGTTGCCCGTGCTAACACATGAGTCACATGATTCGCTGACCTCTTGACATGGTGAACAAACACGTTCCCAATGACATTAACAATTATACGACATTGCTTAACTATCAAACCAACATACGAAAGGTCTAAAGAGTTTAAATGAAAACGAGAACAAAAATTAAGGCAATCTGATTCAATAACTAAATTACACTAGTAATTTTAACGTGCAAATTATGTTAGTTGTTTGTAAGGAAGTGTTTGATAAAATAAACTATTTATTAGGGGTGTGCATTCGGTTAATTGAACCGTTTTAATCGAACTGAATTAATCAAAATTGTTAAAACTTTAATTGTTAATCGAACTGAATTTTTTATTATCAAATTAACTAAACAGAATTTTTTTCACTTAATCGGTGGGTTAACTGACTAACCTAAGTTTTTTTAGCTAAACTTTTAAATCCTTAAAAATATGAATAAAAACTAACGTTACCATCCAATTACATCAATACCTATAATAATAAATCTATAAGAAAAATGAGAAACTTGTAATTTACGGCCCTCACAAATATGTCAATTTCAATGTCATCCTTGAATTATTAGTGGTGTAAGTGTTTCCCCTCAATTTTCAAAATGTATGTGACATATATTGCCCTCCCCTGAATTATTAGTAGTGGTGTAAATGTAGTTACCAGTCATTTGCCATGTTCGAAGACCATTTTTTTTTCCTCTATTTTTCTTTCTTCGTTTGTTCTCCTTCCAACAATAACAATGTTTCTATTTTTCCAAAAAAAAAAAAAAACAATGTTTCTCATTCTTCCTATTACGGGAAGGACAATATATGTCACGTTTTAAAAATTGAGGGGTAACATTTACACCACTAATAATTTAGGGATGACATTGATAATTATCATATTTGTGAGGGGTATAAATTACAATTTTCCCTAAGAAAATATATAATCAATACAATAATAACACTACAAATACAAAAACACAAATTTAAAAAGAGTAAGTATAAATAATAGTTAACCAAAGAATAAATAAATTATATATATATATATATATATATATATATATATATATATATATATATATATATATCGGATCAAATACGAAACATTGTTTAGGTAAAAAATAAGGTTTGATCTCATTCGTTGATCAAATTCAAATCAACAACGAAGATAATTAAAAAAACGCAGCGGCATTATGATTAATAACTCGAAGTAAGTTCAAATGATCTTTGTCTTCGAATGCACATTTTTTTTCCTTCTTCGAGTGCACATTTTCTCTTCAAGTGCATATGTTCTGTCTTAGAACATAGTTTTTCCTTTTAGTATACATCTTTGTATCTTTGAGTACAAAAATTTGGCCTTCGAGTGTACATTTGTATGCCTTCAAGTGCACAGATTTGTGCTTTCAAGTATACAATTATGGCCAAATGTTTATTATATCTTTTGTGTTCTTTTTAATAATATATAACATAAGCCTTGCAACTCTTCGAAGCATGTATTCTTCGAGGTGCTTGACCTCTCGAAGTGTCTTCGATTTGAGGAAGATAGTGCGGATGGACTTCCTTTTGTGTTGTTCTTCCTCAAAAACCATTTAAATTTCCTAACAAACATAGCAAATTGTTCATCAGTTAAAATATCAAAGGGGTTAGAATTAGACCTGGAAGAAGTTGATGGTTGTTGGTCAGCAACCAACACAGCACTCTTTGGATCTTCATCTTCACGTCTCCGTTACCTCTCGAACTTGTAGGCCTTCAAGTCGCTGAAGATTTGAGAAGTTTGAATGACCTTGAAGTCTAGGTGCACTACTAAAATTTTGCAAATTTTTGACGGACAAAAAATCGTTAGAAATAATATGATATGCGTCGCAATTGACATTTTCGACGTCTTTTCCGATGTAAAAAGGGAATCTGAAAACTTCATCTCGGCAAATATTGGTTCCAACGTACCTAATATTTGTCATATTGTACGCCGTCAAACTCCGGCAAGAAATGACCCATTTTTCTGAATATATTTTCCGACATATTTGACGTTGGTAATTAATTTTTTTTATTTAAAATATATATTGTTCGATGTGCGGTAAGTCAGAAATTTTAAAATATAATTTTAAAAGAACATGTCTCAGACGAACTATACGTTGATAGTGATATGATGATCTTTGTATTTTAAAACGTATATTTTCCGATGTACTGTATGTCAGAAATTTTAAAATTTATTTTTGTTTACATCACTACAAATTAAATTATATATTCAAATCATAAAAAATGTCTTAATTTGAATGATCTCCTCTTCTTTCAAACTCTTATCAGGACTCCTGCAAAGCACAAGATTTTGAAGTTGGATTAGTATAATAATATATAGCAATAATTATTGTATAACAAATAGAGTGAGTATGTTAATTAAAGCAAAAAAGTTATCACATTACATTCCATTTGCAGGGTACTTTAGTTGTCATCATCTTGATCTTCATCATCTATATTATCTTGATCATTATTCTTACTCGTCACCTTCTTCACTAATAGTATCATCGAAAGAACCTTCCAATTCACTTTCTGAATCTATATCATTATTGTCATTGATGTGTCCATCAGTTCATTCAAACAACGAACTTCCATCAACTTCTTCCATATTTCATATGGTTTATGCAAGAAGTTTTCTTGGTCCTCCTCATTCTGTGCATGTCCAATAACTCCTGTCAATATCACTTTTTCTTAGAAGGCTGTATTAAGTTTATATTGGTCATCAAATGTGCCTCTTGATCTTACATTTCTTACAGCTGATTAATTTGATTTGTCTTTAGCACCTCTAGGATATGGCAAATAATAAACTTGAGAAGCATTTTGAGCGATAATAAAGGGGTCACACTTTTGGTATCTTCGATTTTACCGCACCTCAACAATACCATATTCAGAGAGCAGAGTACCAATATTAGGTTTAGGATCAAACCACTCACAATTGAAAAGAACCACCTTTTTAAATTGGTAAATTTGGGTACTCAATTTCAACAATCTCATTCAAATGCCATAGAAATCAGATTCACCTTCAACAAGTCATGTCCCTTTAACACACACTCCACTATTTGTAGTAGATTTTCCATTATAATATGAATAGGTTTGAAACTTATACCCATTCACGATGTATCTAGAGTATGTTTTGACTTCCAACAGTGGACCACATGCTAAATCAATGAGAAATTTGTTTTGTAACCCATCTCTATAATGATTTACCTAAATTGTTTTATACAATTAATGAGCTTAGGTAAACTTACAGCAATAAAACAATATTGTAAAACAAATACATATATAATTGTAATACTTATATAAGTTTGAAACCACTTTGCAAAATAGTTTTCAACTTCTTTGTCCACTTGCGCATTTGTAATTCCAGGATTTAATGCATACAATCCATCTTCAAACATCCTAAAAAACATAATGCTTAATGTAATTTATAATTTGGGTTACATTTTTCTTTAAAAAAATGTTAATGAAGGTTTAATGACTAGTACCTTAGAATTGGTTTTACTTCTTCGCAATTGAGCAAAATATGTTGGTGTGCTGCATCAACTTCTTTTTCATCCATATATCTTTTGCTTGAAGCACCCATAAGGCGACTTGGAAGGTTGAACACAAATAGCGTATATGGTGTTGCATTATTAACTCCACCATCATCTAAGTTCCAACCAATCCTTGTATGTCTACTTTGTACATGAGCTTCAAAATAATATGAAGCAAAAGTAGTAGTCTCTTCAATGATAAATGCTTCTTGCTTCATACGGTAGACGAACTGGTAAATGCTCCATACAATCAAAAAAATGTTGGAGGAAAAATTCTTTCTAATTTACAAATCAAATGTGCAATGCTCTCTTCTAATTCTTGAACCTTATTCACAAACATTGTGGCAGAACAAAGATAACGGAAGAAAATGCTTAGTTCTGCTATAACTTTTCAACATGTATGGGGTAACAAAGAAAACGCAATTGGCATCAAGCATTCCATGAAGATTTGACAATCATGGCTTTTCAAACCATACAATTTGTTTTCAGTAAGATCTACACAGTTTGCTACATTTGAGGGAGGAAGATTATACGACACAACTATGACTGGCCAACATGAATATGTTTTAGCATTCATACCAAATGGAGAGTATTCATGCCAAATGGAGAAAACCCATCTGCACACAATCCTAGTCTAACATTCCGAGGTTCTGCAGCAAATTCTAGGTAAATTGTATCAAAGTGTTTCCATGCCTCACCATCTGATGGATGACACATAACATTAGGCTCACAACGATTTTCAAAGTGCCAACGCATGTGTTTTGTAGAGTTGGGCGATGCATACAACCTTTGCAACCTAGGAATGAGGGGCAAGTAGTGCATTTTTTTTGTGAAGCCTTTTTGAGATGAGATCTTGTATGCCTATCACTTTTATATCTCGCTTCTCCACAAACTTTACATGAAACTAGTTCCACATCATCCTTGTAGTACAACATACAACCATTCACACAACAATCTATCTTGTCGTATCCCAAGCCTAATTTACCAATCATTTTCTGTGATTGATAATAGGTTAAAGGCACACGATTAGGACCAAATGCCCGATTATGTAGTTGTAATATTGCATCCATTGCTAGTTGTGGTATGTTAAATGTGGATTTTGATGTCCATTATCTTTAAGGTGTATGATAACTCAGTTTCTTCATCACTTTCGGACCACAGTGGTTGTCTAGTTGACTCTAATAAGCCATAGGATTTCTTTTACGACTCATGTTGGATGTCACCTTCAACTTCATCAATATTGGGGTTGAAAATCATTAATCGTTGCTTCACCACTTTGTTGAGGTAGTTCTTCTCTGTGGCATGCCCAAACCCAATAGTTAGGTTCAAATCCCTTTTTGTAAAGATGAACCTTAACATACTCAGGCTTTAAATGATATAGATTTCTACATTTTTTGCATCTCATCACCTCATTTTGATACTCGGGCTGTGCAGTTGCAAAGTTCACAAACTCATCAACACCATCAATAAATGCTTCCTGTAACCCCCTCCTTCCTGGCATTTATTGATTATACATCCACCTTTGGTGATGGGATATATCATCCATATCCATTCTTCTAATTAAATAACTGCACATGTAATAAAGTTTAATTAAATGAATTTATCCACAAAATAAGATGATTGTTCAAAAATGCTAGAAAAAGTAATCAAATTACATGAAGTACTTAATTATATTAACTAGTTCATTAATATATAACATATTACAGTAATAGTCATGATAATATTAATCATTTGGGAGAAAAGCTAATATTAATCTCTACAGATTTCTGCAATTTAATTAAGCATCGTAAACTACAATTCATACAGGTGAATGCAAATGTAAGCATTATCTAAGCTAGCACAAGAAAAATAACATTGAGAAAGAAATAAAAGAAGCTAAGAACATAATAAAACTTTATTAATATTTTCATAAGAAAAATAGATTCCAAAAGGACAAGATCAAAAGATAAATAAGAACATACCTTCAAACTTGGAAATGTTCTGTCAGTCGAGGTAATGGTCAGCAGCGAAAACAACACCAGCTGTCCAAGGTAGTAGTCGGAAGTTAGCGGCGAAAACAACATTGGCGGTCTACGAAGGAGAAGACAAAAGCATAGTAATGAAGCTATGTTTCTTAGGATTGAATATTGGGGGAAGACTGAGGATGTAGAAAGAAAGAAAGGGGAAGATTGTATCTATGGTTGAATATTGGGGGAATACATTGATTCCTTGGGATGTGAAAAGAAAGAAAAGGAAGATTGTATATATATATATATATTTTTTTATTTCCAACACTCAACTCATACGGAGTATGTCGATGATTGCGTATTTGTAAAATTTCATCCGCCAAACTCAATAATTCACCCGCGAAATTTAATTTTTAAAATTAAAATTACATTCTTAAATATGCTTTATTATAATTTCATATAACTATTCTTTATTACTTTAAAAACAAAGCTATTATATTTAAAATTAAAACAATTATTCTCTATAAATTTTAAAATGAAGGTATTATTTTAAAATTAAGATTTAATCTTTAAATTTACATTATTATAATTTCATATAATACTAGTACTAATTGAGTAGTTGAACTAGAATGTTAATTAATTTTCTGTTCTTGAAAATGCATGACATAACAAGATTTAGGCCCTGATTGGTAAATGGTTGTTAGCTGATTGAGTTAATTAGAGGGTATAACTAGTTGATAACATTAGCTGATAATAGAAAGGTGTTTTGGTAAATTAGTTGTTAGATGATAGCTGTTTGGTATAATTTCTTTTCTCAAAAAGTTAATTGAAAAAGTTGCTTTGAGCAACTTTTTGAATTTTAGCATTTTGAAGTTACAAAAAGCTAATTAACCAAACACTTATATTGATTTTTAACCAAGTCAAACAATTAATAGTGGTCAAATAAATTAAAATTGACTGATAGACTAACTATTTTACCAAACAGAACCTTAATCTTTAAATTTACATTATTATAATTTCATATACATCAAGTTATTCTCTAGTACTAGTTGATCAATTTGGGGGCTCATCTTCCCTTGATCCTTATACCACCCCTCATAAAAGCAATTTGGGGGTTAATCTCCCCCATAGCAATTTTAAGAAATTCATCATTAGTAAAGGAAAAGGTTGCATCAGAGAAGGGATAATTACTATCATCACTTAATATTCATCATCTTTTCATTTCATTCCACTACAAAAAGACATCACAAAAAATGGTATCCTGCCTTTAGGATCAGTTACAAAAGAAACATATATCAATATCTGTTTACAAAAGGGCATTACAAAAAGGTGCCCTGCCTTCATATGGAATTAGTTAAAAAAAAAAAAAACATAGCAAAAAATAGTACTTGCTTTCTAGCACCTGTGCCATGACTGCCATCACCATAACATTGCTATTCATTTTCCCTTTGCAAATACCATGCCCCCATCATCTATTGCAATGGAAATAGTTAAAAAAAAAAAAAGCATAACATAAAATAGTACATGCTTTCTAGCACCTGTGGCATCACCATAACACAGCTATTCATTTTCCCTTGGCAATACCATGCCCCCATCATCTGTTGTCGTAACTCCTGTGCCATCACCATCTACACCAATTGACTAATTTGCGTCGTTAACATGTCTCCCGGTATTAACCATCTCTTGATCATATTGAAAAATAGAAGAGCAATCCATTCCTAATAGCTTTTCTAATGCAACCTTGAAGAGACTATTAGTTTTTTCAAGTTTAGCTACCCGTTGACGTAGATTCTCAGTCTCATAGGATGTAGTTGATGAGGATGTGTGTGCTGGAGCTTTGCTACTATGTGAGGAGCTAGGGAAGTAAAAAGCAACATCATTACCAAAATCGAGTACGTGGCCACCCTTTTTCGGTCTACCAACAACTTTTAACCACATCTCGGATTCACTTATTGTTGATTGACTCAATTTCAGTTCTTCCATTGTCTCCTACAATGAATAAAACCCTGATGTTAATATGTATATTTTGTATGCACATATATAATGTCAGTAATCAACTTACCAAAACCTTTCGTGCTTTCACAGAAACATATTTGCCAGTTTTCTTCTTTGTGTGTGTTTCTCGATATAACAAGTCAGGACTAGGCTCCTGCCCACCGTGTTTTTTTTTTCCTGCAATAATACATAAGTAATTATATAAATAAATACTCCCTCCGTCCCATTTTATGTGTCTGGTTCGGCTAATGAGGTTTGATTAAGGTTATTTTTAATTCAATTTTTCATAATATTAAGTTTAGCATTAGTATACAAAATTTATATATTTAGAAACTACACTAAAAGTACTATTAAACACAAAAAATCAAATTTAAAAATAAATAAATAAAATACTAAAGAAAATAATTAAACAAAGAAGAAAGAGTTGGTTTGACCAATGAATAGTAAGTAGGACAGATAAAATGGGATAGAGGGAGTAGTAGTTAAGTAATACATATAAAGAACTAAGATTATAAATGCATACCAATCGCCTACGATGTTCAAACATGGGTATAGATCCGAAAATATGGAGTGAAGAGGGACCATCATCACCATGTGAACTATTTCTGAACCGTTTATTCCTTTCACACTTGGCAATATAGCTAGACGTGTTCCATAATTCACATAGACCCTTGTACACTTCTGGCGCGATCCAATATGGACGGGATTTTTTCGCACGAACATCATAAAGGGTGTTTGAGAGTCTTTCAGAAGCCTTTACATCAAAATTGCGTCGAATAGCAGCATCATGCTCAGGACTTCATCTGTACTTTTTCTATGAACATTAAAAGCTAGAAAATGTTAGGATCTTTAATAAATACAAAAAAATAATGAGCTAGTCTTTTAAATTATTACACTAACCTTGAACTCATTAAAGCATACTTCCCTAACCTCGAGGGGTACGGTGCTTCCTTGTATGATTTTATAGGTTTCTTGTAATATTTTTCAATGTAGTCAATCACTGCACGATTTGCACCATGTGGTTCAAAATCATCTTTCCCACCAGGAATAATCATTGGCAATCCACCTCTCTCCGAAGGCACTTCAGATTGCTCATTATTCCTTGCATCTGATGCAGCAGTTGGAGGGTTTGTGCCTAGCGAATCATTAGAAGCACTATTAGTCCTACCTGACCCATCTATAGCACTTTCAGTAGATGCCGGAGAATGTGGGGTTTGCATATGCCATTGAGCACTAACAATGCGAGGGTCACGAGGGCCACTATTATTACCGAAACTCATTCCTAATGAGTTATGCCTATTGTAACACCCCCCAAACTAAACATGCAAACTAGGGCAAAACACTAGCAAAAGCATTTAAATAAAGCTTAAATCAAAATCAAACGCTGCAGAAGCATACTTAAGTTCAAAAGGGTGTTACGCCACATTTAGGTCAACCATCCTAAATGTTAAGGCGAGTTTACAAATGTCAAAATAACTAGTCATAATTCCAAACAAACTAGGCATCATCTATTTATGACATCATTAAACGGCTCACATGCTAAGGTCTAGCAAAAGGAAGAAAATACTAGCAAAACATAGAGCTAAGCTCGGCTAACGCGCTCTCAACGAAGGTCTATTTCATACTTGAAATGCATTTTAAAACATTAGAAAAAGAATGCTAAGCAACCTTCCTTTCCAACATGTAAAACTATATAAATATACATTTGTATTCAAGTAGGTTTTGCAACTATATAGATATATTCAATGTAACCAACTCAACAACGTTTTCAAAAGGATTCAATTACCCAAGCATTTGAGACTCCAAGACCAATTCAAGAAGGACTCCAAGAATAGATTCAAGATCAAGATTACTCAAGTCACAATGCACATACTCAATTCGAAGTGGATTCAAGGGTCAATACCGAAACATCAACAAGATAGAATTTCCAAGGTTTCCATTTCGAGCAAAGTGCAATGGTATATACACAATCAAAGAATCATATATATATATATATATATATATATATATATATATATATATATATATATATATAATCAAATATTCAATATCAAAACTAATATCCAACCAAACTCCAATCCAACCTTATCCACCAAAGCGGATCCAAAGCTCTCTTCCACCGATGCAATTCATATTCCACCTATGCAAATGGAGCCAAAGCTCATATTCCACCAATGCAATCAATCATGTCCCACCAATCCAAAATAGCTGAAGCTCAATAGTACAATAATAATACAATATAGGAAATGAGATGTATATATATACCATCAAATAATTCAAGAACCAATTGATATCAAGGAACAAGGATTCATAAAGGAATCACAATTCAGACGGAGTTCAAAGAGTTCACAACTTACCGGGAACGACTTACAATGAACCAAAGACCAAACGACAATGCACGGAAGATCAAAGAGTGCATTATAGAAATCACTCAGGACCTAACGGTCCATTGCCACGGGGGTGGAACTCCCGCCAGGCACTACCGCACGAAGGAGGCGGGCATGTGCAACAGGCAATAAATCCCCGCCACACATCCCTGCAAAACACCTTACGGGTGTCCGTCATGGGCATCACACACCCGTGAGGACAGCCCACACGGTCAAATCCGAAGCAGAAACAATATGAAACAGAAGCCAAACTTCCAATACAACAGTAATGCTATTTCAACACAACAAAGGCTACAACTCAACAAGAAATCCATACCAACAACACTAGAATGACAATAAATCATAGGGAATCAAAGATCATAGCTCAAGAACAACACCCAAAATACTCAAGAACAAAGCTCATACCAAGAAATAATACCAAGAATATGCTCAGGATTTTCAAGAAGAACATTCATCACATATTGGAATGAAAATAGATTTTGTAGGACAAAGAAGCTTACCTCTTAGCTATCCAAACAACTCTTGTCTCCAAGCAATCTTATTCTAACACCTCTTCTTCCACTTGGTCCTCTAGAACCCCAAAACCCCCAATATAGGAAGAAATAAGAACATGCATTAAAGATTATGGAATGTGAATGGAAAATGTAAGATGGAAGATGATCTTACTTAGTTGTGTTGTGAAAATGAATAAAAGAGGAATCTTGATGGAGTTTTCCTTATAGAAGATGAATGCTATTTTCTTGTGTGATGAAGAGGAAAATGGCGTGTGGGGTGAGTGTGGTGGAGTGGGGAGGAAGACAAAGTTTTAGGGTATTTTATGTAGGGATAGCTAGGACAAAAATATTATATACAATATAGTATATGTATTAGGTTGAAGATGCATGAGCTAATACTATACAAATTGGGCTAGTAACTAAATATAATATAAGTAGAAAATAATGTTAAGGTCCAATAATAGTTTAGTCTTAGAAAATTGGGTATAGAATAATAATTCATAGGAATTTGGGCCTTAAATAAATTCATATAAGTTAGGGATTTAATTACACTAGGAGAATTGCGCTAAGTTGAAATACTAAATCCCTTACAGAATCATTTAGGAATAATAATTGTAGAATATTAAATATGGGGTGTCACACCCTCTCCCCCTTAAAAGAAGCAGACACTCTCCCCCCTTAAAAGAAGCTTCGTCCTCGAAGCCAAAAAGATAAATAGGACGAAGTATGCTTAAATTCGAATTTAGGAATATGAATCGAAGGAAGATGATATGCAAAAGATATGCGGATGATTAAGTATTCAATTTGAAAAGAAAAAAAAAAACACAATGAGAAAACTTAATAATCTATCTATCAACCATTTACATAATGTCTCTAATTGTAAAACAAGTATTCAATTTGAGAAAAAAAAAAAAAACAAACGGAATGAGAAAACTTAATAATCTATCTATTAACCATTTACATAATGTCTCTAATTTGCAAAACAAATATTCAATTTGAAAAAAAAAATCAGAATGAGAAAACTTAATAATCTATCTATCAACCATTTAAATAATGTCTCTAATATGCAAAACAAGTATTCAATATGTTGTTCACATCTTACAACACTCTTCCTAAGCCTATAACAAAAGAAAGAAGTATATATCAAATGATAGCCCTGCCATTTCTCTTAATCGATAACACATTGGCTTTGAGTCAATCAATTTTAATTTGCTAAATAGAAGCTAGACATTCTAATTTCCCATTCATATTCCCCACAAGGCCACAATGCCCACATCTAACTACAGCTCTGTTGTGGGCTATAAATCATTCACTTTTGAAACCCCATGCAACACTCTACAGAGAATTAATGGTCTTGACAAAATAACAGCAAACCTTAACCCCCTGATTACTCTTGGAAGCAGGTAAGAAATATTCTTTTTTTTTTTTTTTTTTTTTTGTGAAAAATAATTTTACTTTTATGTTTAGATAAGTAGCAATATCCAATACCCAATATCAAATAGCCCTTGCTTTATGACAGTGCATGGCCAGAAATTCTAAATTGGATTATGTTAACAACCAATACTAACCATTGCAGAACTCAAAACTATCGCTTCAAAAATAAAACTGAATACAAGAAAGCATAAAAAAATTTCAAAAAAAAAGACAGTTTAACAAATTAAAATACAGATTTTACTTATCATAGCCAAGAATGAATACTTTATATGCCATGCAAACCACAAAAACAAACCTACAGAGAGGAAAACAAGGAAAACCAAAACAAAAAATTAAAGAAAACCAGAACAGAAAACCCTTTGTCTTTACTCCTTGACTCCCATCGAAGTCACTTGGAAAGGAGGACGAGAATAACGGAAGCTTAGCTCAAATTGTTTATATGTTGAAGATGGGTAGAATATGAGGAGAACTTGGATTTCACTTGAAAATTAATGAAGAAATTTGAAGAGGTAGAAAAACAGAAGCTTATTAGCTAAAAGTATGTTCTTTTCAAAGGATCCCAAGAAGGTCAAATAATATAATATCTTTCCGCCACTTAATTTCTTGTAAAAAAAATATGTATTCACTGACTTATTGTACGTCGCTTGCAAATACAAGTTTTAGTTTTGTGGTGACGTGTTGAGTGTGTCGATAAATACTTACCAAGCAAATTACCGACGAAAAATAATTTATATCGAAAAAAAAACAAAACAATTATTTGAGGTGTCATATTAAAATTAAAATAACCGAAGTAAATATTCTCCGTCCGTAAAGTACGTCGGAAATCAGCAAATTTTTTGTAGTGGTGGTCCCTCATCGCAATCACCTTCATCTCCCATGACTAGGGCAGTCCTCGGAGAATTTTGAGGTTGATTTCCTTTTGTGACAGCTCCTTTCCTAAGTCTGCTATCACGCTTAGGAGCTTCATAAACTAAGTTTCCATATTGGCTATTCTTTCATTGTTAGCCATTCGGTAATCTTGTCATTTCCTCGAATGTCTAGGTGTGTCGAGGCTTAGGAACGTACTCAGGAGCAATGTTGAAAAAATCGCTAGGCACCTGGGAGGCCGACCACCTAGCACCTAGGCGCGATTTTTGCAACACTGCTCAAGAGCATCTGGCCCTTGTGTGGCTGCATTGGAGTTCACCATCATTATTTGAACTGGCCCCTCAGTTATAACTTCCAACATTTTGTTGTGTAGGGTCGAGAGGTGTACCTGTATGCTCACTTTTCAATCATCAAATTTATTTAAATGAAACATAAGATTTTTGGACATATGATGATCTATATTTGTAAGAAAAATTTACATGCAAAGAAAAACGAATTTTTGCTTGAAAAAGATATCACCATGCATTATACACAGAGTGTATACCAATCAAGGTAACTTGCTCTGATACCACTTGTTGGTCCTGGTGAGTAGGGATTACAAATCTAGAGGGGTGGGTGAATAGACTTGTATAGTTTTTTGAAAAATTAACGATTCGGCTGAAGAAGTTCCGAAGAGTTACTTCTTTGCAACTTCAATGATTCGAGAGTTTTACGTAGTGGAATTAAATTATAACCCTTGTTAGTTTTGCACGTAGTTTGTTCTTGAAAGATTAAGTTTGCATGAATGATATGCAACAAATAAAAGCAGTAATGTAAAAGATGCAAAGAGAGATTTTTATAATGGTTTGGCTAACTTAGCTTACTCCACTCTTCGTCTTAAAACACTTGGGGAGGTTTGCACAATCACGTTAGTACAAAAGGGACGTCCAATTCTTGAACACAAAGCCGGCCTTGAACTCCATAGGTTTTTCAACTCAACACTGAGTTTACTCCGGCTCTTTCTACTTCAATCGAGTAGAGATACAAAGGGTTGAAGATAAGATTTCTTCAATCTCCAACTAAGAGCTTGGTTTCTTGAATCTGGATTTGAACTTCTTTCGCAGAAAAAGTCTATTGAATCTGGATAAGATCTTTTTAGTTTTTTCTCTCACTGGTTTTGCTTGAGTATTGCTTTAAACGCTTTGAACACATATAAAATCTTTTGAATAGACCAATACCTTCTTCAGTCTTGAATGAAGGTATTTATAGGTGCTTTAGAAATGTGTTCGTTGGAGGGAAACCTAATTCAAACGTTTATTGACCAACGTGTAAAGACCAGCGTGTAATCTGGCGGTTAGGTAGACTTGTTAGTCTTTTTAGACGTTAGACACTTACTTTGCACTGAACATATCTTTTTGTTATGCACAAAATGTCTAGGCTTTTTTACGGAAAATCCTCCTTGCGATGTGAACTTAGGACTCCCTTTGCCTTGGTCACATTCACTAGCGTTTTAAGGTTTCCAACTGTTGGCTCTGAGAATGTCTCGAGCAATTCTTTTCAAATGATTAATTGTCACTATTAGAGTTAACGTTCCAAACCTTAACACTCTACTACCTATCAGATACGAATGGTTGACTTTACCCTTCATTCCACCTTTTTACTCGAAAGGTAGGCCCTTCCACCATTCGGCCTTTGGAACCTTTCGGTTTTGCAGTCTTCTACTCTTCGAATCTTCTTCTTGAACTCTTCAAGTCTTCAACTCTTCGAGGTCTTCATCTTCAAGCTATTCGAAGGGTAACCATTCGAGTTACTAATCGAACTGTTGAGTCTATCCGAAATGTAACTTCTCGAATTAACATTTGGAATATTTTGTCTATATGAAACGTGACTTCTTGAGTTAACATTCGGAGTATTCAAATTAAGCATAAACAACCTAAGTCTAAAAGATAAAAAAAGTAGGAGACTAAAATTCCTAACTTTTGGTATCATCAAAATTTAAATTACAAATGTTCCTACCAATACCCGATACATTAATCACAAATAAAGCATCAAGACAGACAATAAAATCCTAGCTCATGCCCATAAACTAAGTACTCATGATTAATAGAATAAAGAACACAAAAGAACAATTAATAAACTTAAATGTTGCAAAAGAATGAAATAAAAAGAAGGAGAACTTATCTATTGAAAATAAGAGAACAATATTGAAATTCAAGCTTTAAATTCAAGATTACAAGCTTCTAAAATGTTAAAGAACATAAATCTAAGCCTAATATAACCTAAAAATATGAATGAAAAGGTAGGAAAATAGCTAGGGTTCTAAAATGGGTTAGAAACGAAGAGAAATGACAAAAAAAAATGCGCTTAAATAGTGAACATAGCAGGGGTGGCATGACTATGCCACTAGTCGTGTTAAAATCAGCCCAAAAAATAATGCTTACTGCCTCGATGCCCCGGCCTAAGGCATGGTCGTGCCCTTAGCCCATGCCTACCAGGCAGAATTCTTGTGCAGCTCCTTTGACTTCAAGGAAAAGTTTCACCATCGAAACCTTTGAATTGACCTTTATGATCTTCATAAAGTTGTATCCCTTCAAGAGTTCAAGCTGGCTTTTCAATGGCATAAGAATCACTTTATTTGAACATAATCCTAAGCTAAGATATGATCAAAATACTGAGCAGTTGTCATGGTGTGTGAGAATTACAACACTTTGATATTTTGTTCCACTTTTGCCTTGGTTTGCCCATATGATCAAAGCCATTGAAGACACCACTCTTTACTCACTTTGAAGTATATTAGTCATCTTCTTAGCTTCGTATTTGGCTCCCATCGACTCCAAATAAATCCAAAATTCCCCCAAAACACACAATTTTTTTCAACTCAACAATTTATGTGCCTGAAGATATAAACAAATGAATTAATGCACTTTTTACATAAAACCAAATAAATTATCACTTAAAATAGATCTATGGAGTAAAAATATGGACATAAATGCACTTATTATTGATATTGAGAATATGAATTGTAGTAAGAATCTTGGGAATGGTAAGATGAATCTTGATGGAATTGTGGTGGGTTTTGGAAGTTTTGAAAGTTTTGGTAGTTTGGAATGTGTTGAGAGTATGAGTGTTAGGGGTGTGATTGTGTGGTGGAAAAGAATTTTGGGATTGAACATTATAGTAATTGTTAGGAGGTGGGACTTAAGTTGTACAAGGATTAATCGATGGAGCGCATGCCAACATTGTAGTATCATTGTTGTGTCATGTAGTTTGCATAGCCACCATATTGGTTAGCCCCATAGGATTAAGAATCATAATATCGTCGTTGGAATGCATACCATCCATGGTTAAGGTTTTTATTTTGGTGGTTGAAGCTCTAAACTCTTCTTTGGTATAGATTACAAGCACCAAGCAAAGAACCTTCAATAAAAACCCAAACATAGATACATTATTAGGACTTGAGAACTTAAGGTAAGCAAAAAGAAAATAAAAGCTTAGTCTCATAAAAATTTTCTAACAATTAATGTTAGTTAGACAAGCAATCACATAAAACCACGAGATTGTCAATTCTCGATAACAGCGCCAATTTTGATGCAGGATGTTTCCAAGGTAAGTACATGTAATATGTTGTTCTCTAGGATTGGGGGTTATGGCATGTAGTATGCAATTACAAGCAGTTAGGCAATAGCATAAGGAAGTTAACCAGAAACTAAGCAATTCGTAACAAGTGGGAGTGTCAATGACTAAACAAAATAAGGCTAACACATATACACAAAAGATAAACACAAAACAAGGAAATAAGACTTAAGCTAGAGAGTATTATCTTCTAGACTAGATGCATAACACTACTTAAGGATTGGAGGAAAATCACACAATGAAGGAACTATGGTGATGCATGTAGGAATTCTAATCTATACGCCATCAATAAACAATAATTAGAATAAGAAATTGTCACACTCTCGTGATGCATCTACTCCAAGTTCTTCAAGCACACAAAGCATCAAAGCACTTAATTCAATTTTCCCTATTTTCATAGGGAGAAATCAGATTTATGCCAAGGAGTGGCTTGGGATGGGATCTTGACCCAACTCTTGTTGTGGCAAAGATTCCTCCAAAAGCATGCTAATGAGTGTTGTACACCAAACATTAACAAGATACAAACACAAATCCTTCATAAACTCAAGAACCCTAGTTAAGCAAAAATATCTTTATGCAAATATGCAATACTCAAGAATATATCATCTAGATGGATAATACAATCTAACCCAAGTCTATAAACTAATAACCCACACGTATTAAGCATAAACAAAACAAAAGCACAAGTAATAAACATAAATATTGCAAAGGAAAGAGAAAAAACGAAGAACTTATCTATTGAAAATGAGAAAACAATCTTGAAATCTAAGCTTCAAATCCAAAATTACAAGCTTCCAAAATGTTATAAAACCTAAATCTAAGCCTAATCTAACCTAAAAAGAAGAAAGGAAAGGTGAAAAAATTGTTAGGGTTCTAAAATGAGTCAGAACCATGTAGAAATGGCTCAAATCGTGCATACATAGTGAATAGAGCAAGGTGGCATGGCCATGCCACTGCCCGTGCCAAAATCAGCCCAGAAAATGATGCTCACCACCTTGATTGGCACGGCCATGGGCATGACCGTGCCCTTGGTCATGCCCATCAGGCAGAATTTCTGTGCAACTCCTTTGACTTCTAGGAAAATTTTCACACCTAAAACACTTAAATTGGCCTTTATAATCTTCAAAAAAGTTGTAGCCCTTCAAATTGGCTTTCAAAAGGAGTAAAAATCACTTGATTTGGACATTCCTAGGTTGAGATATGCTCAAAATACCAAGACGTCGACATATTGAGCACGCATTACAACTCCATGATCTTTTGCTCCATTTTTGCCTTGGTTTGCCAATGTGATCAAAACTATTGAGGACACCACTCTTTATTTTGGCTCTCTTGAAAGTATTTTAGCTATCACCTTAGCTTTACCTTGGCTCCCGTTGACTTTAAATTGATTTAAAATGCTCCAAAAATTATTCAATTCACCTAAATCATTAAGAACTACACCTAAGCACACAAATGAATCAAATGAGGAACACTTTGGTTAAAATTATAACAAATGGCAAGAAAAATAAGCTTAAAGTTGCAAGGTGAAAATATGAACAATTAAGCTCTTATAAGATAAGCACTGAGTGAATTTTTTGTTTTCTCTTCTTTCTCTTACCCAACTAACTTTAATCTCATCTCTAATCACATCTTATAATCCTCCACTAACCCCTCCTCCTGGACTAGATGAACCCTGGATACTTTATGCCTTATGGCATATCAGACTTCTCAATTCGTGTTAGTGACTGCTACTACTCCATATTATTTTTGTGTGCAGTAAAGGAACACATACTAAGGAATGCCATCTATGTTCATTTTTTACTGTACTCCAAATAAGAAATATTGAATACTTCCAAATCACTATTCATTAGTAGTGCTCCTCTTAGCACTATTCCTAGATACTGAAGTTAATTATCTGGTTCTAAACTGATAAACAGAACAATCAGTTAAAAGCCTCAGTAATCTGAGAAAAAACCAAAACATGACAAAAGAGCCACTCCTCTAGTAGTCAAATAAAGCTAGCTGGGCACCATGTTCACCCTATTCAGTATCATGTACACAACAAATGTAAGACTCCTCCCTTCCATAATACACACAGGCATATAGGTAATAGGTCTCAGAAGAAAAAATGGTGTGTATATAATATTTAGAGTGTGGTGGGCGTGGAACTGTGGAAGGGAGTTAGGGGGTTGTAAACATTAAAAGCACAACTGAGCAAACACATGTAGAGACATTTAAACAACAAATTTCATTTAGAGTTAATAGGTAGCATTCACACACACACACACACACACAAAAAGGGTAGCATTATCTCCACAAAATCCTGAGCATCAACTGAAACAATAAAATCGCATTTAGAGTTAATAGGTAGCATAACTAGCCACATAGTTTGAAAGGTTTTTTTTTCTATTTTTTTTAAATTTGCGGGAAAGCCTACAACTGTGCACCTGGGTGAAGCACGCCCCACTCAACTCGGAACTTGGGAGTTGCCATTACCAAGTCAATTGCCCGACCAATTCGTGTGGAGTTGCCTCCAATAATCTTTAATCCTGGTAAAGAAGCTTCTTCATGGTGATTAGACAAAAATGGTAGTAAAGAATTTGAGCAGTCAACAGTAGTAAGATTTGTGTTGCATATTAGCCTATGAAACAGCATTTGTTCCAATATGATTAACTGATAGACCCAAAGCCAAAAAAAATTTCATATGCTCACTGTAAAAGGAAAAGGGGTTCGTAAAAAAGAACCACATTTTCTTTCCCTATGAAATTCAAAAGCTCCAGGTATAATATTATCTTGCATAATCTATTTTCATGCCAGTAGCTTTCTTGAAAAGTGATTAAAAATAAAGCAATAAGATAGCAACAAGGTCTTTTTCAAAAGAAATTATCTCTTTAAGATCCACTCTATCGCAGTATCACCTGTCCTAACACAACTCATTGGCAAATTGTTTTTAAAAAAGCAGGGTATGTTGAGAAATACATAGAAAGAAAAAGAAATATACGAAATAAGTGGACAAACTAACCTTCCCATTGCATCTTGCACCAGTGTAAGGCACATTGTGAACAAGAATTCTTCAAGGATGCTTCTGTCTCTTCATCAACAAACTTATAGAAGGGATTGCTTTTTTCTTACAATGTAACTGACATTCTTTGGTTGTTGAATCACATCATAGTTTCCTGTGGACAGTTTATGCCACTACATATAAGCAAAGCATCCCTCTTGTGTTTAAGTACCAAGAAATTATTTGACTAGACAAAAACTGAAGTGAAAATTTCAATTAGTCAATTACTGGTGCTTATCAACTGCAAGAACGAAGACCTTTACAACAATTTACTCTTCAATAAGTGATCAAGAAGATTATTAGACCTACTCTACCATCTAGTGACAGAGGACATCTACAAAACTACCAAAGAATTTCCACTTGGAATACAAATATAGCAGGATATTGAAAATTTTGACATTGCCAAAAGTAGAATCATGAGAAGAGTGATATAGGGTAGAAACATTATGAATTGTAGAGCATTACTGTTTATTGTGTTTAGTTTTTTGGTTTTAATATACCACTATGTTTAGCATTTTAGGTGTTCATTTCATCAATTCCAAAATGCCATAAACAATTCTAGTATGAAACTCTCAGTACAGCTTCTGTCAACAATACCAAATATGGCTGATGCAACAATAACTTCATGGAACTCCTCCATCTCCCTTAGATCAGAAGCACCAATATCAAAGCAAGTTCAATCTCTGGGTTTACATCCTTTGACAAATCTAAACAAAAATAAATAGATAGTGTACGGGTAGAGAACAAGATACAGTAATATATCTTGCAAATTGCAATTTTGGGGGAAAAAAAAAAAAAAGAAGTCATCAACAATCTTGAGAATATCACATCATTCCTCAGCATCAAAGGAGGATATCCACCAAAGTCTGAACCTCCATGAGGCTCACTCTTTGTAGGATTTATTTCACGAAAATAAGTTATAGATGGTGAAGGAGCTCTAGCCATTCCAGCTATAGCCAAAAACATAAAACGTAAAAATAAATAAATAAAAACCAGTGAAGAAACTATTAGTCACATTTTCATGCAGTGCCAGATGCAAAAAATGAAAAGAGGAAACAAAATTCAGAATCTAATACTTGTATGCATCAATGTCATTGTAGCATCATTTACAGCAAACTTATAGGTAACACTTACAGCGTGGTCCAGTTCGCTTCCCTTCACCAGGAGGAGGAAATGCAAAATTTCTGCATGGATGAGTCAAAACAGCAGTAGAGCCAATACAAAGCATTGTGACAGAGGCAGGAAGAAGGCATCTGGATCTTATTTTCAGCACAGGCTGCAACCTTTTTGGTCAAGAGTGAAGATACATAATATGTTTCACTCCAAAGCCTTCCTTCCAAGTCCAAATGTGGGCTTCCTGATACATCCTCTGGAGCAATACTGCAATAGATCATGCACGGCTTATATGAATCAATTGCATAACTAAGAAAAGAGAGAATAAATCAATGCTAATCATTGAGCCTCACAACAGCTAACTGTTGAATCATGTAAACAAGGAAAAGAAAAGGTAAAAGAATAGAGTAATTATAGTAAGAATGCAAACCTTAATTAACAGTTAAGAATCCTGTCATAAACACCAGAAGTGCAAATGCCACCAAAATTAGCATCCCCACATGTTTTCTAAGGACAAAGCTGCAAATGTAGGGAAGAAACCTCTCCTTCTCCCTGGAACCAGAAAGTGACATCTTAAGAGGCTTCTGCAAAATAAATGACTGTTGAGCATGCAACATCCTATGTTGTGCCTGCTGCAATAATTCATAGCTCCGAGTACAAATGCCCAATGACACCCCAGTCTTGCGACCACAAAATATCATCCTTCATTTTGTTCCCTTAGAATACTCCTTTATTCACTAAAGCCACACGTTTTCACCATTCTAAAATATTCCAAAGTCCAAACTATCCACTAACAAACAGTATCTCTAACAAATTACCACCAAGTCAGAACTATTTTTTAATTTGATCATGTGTTCTCCCATAGTTCTCAAGGGGGGAAGAGTTTGAAAAATAGATTTAACCTTACACTCTTCACCTCATCCACAAAAACATAGAGTTGAAGGAAGCATAAAGGACCCTAGCTGAAGATTTAATTAGTTCACCAAAATTTTATAAAGACAATCTCAATTAAGTGTCTAAATATGAACCTGAATCACCAATTGAAACCCCCATTAAAATTCAAAACCCACTTGAATAATGCACAAACTAAGCTACAAACACAAGGCATTCTGTTGAAACTAAGCTACTAGGAGTTTCCTAATGTTCAATAAATGTTTCCTAATATTCAACACATTCAAAATTACAAAATTGAGTCTTGTGCATCAAGAATATCAGCAAGTACAAAATGGCCAAAAGTTTAGGGTTGCGTAATTGCTTTATATGGCAGAAAATTAGGCATTGTCACCATTCTCGAAGAACAGTTTTGTCATTAATACAAAATGGGGAAATGAAGTTTGACATAGAGGAGAGTTAAAGTTTAGGCTTGTGATACTCTACACAATCAAAAGATATTGGATTCTATTGCTAAGTTAAAAGAACTCACTAAACAGTCCTCTCCATTATTCCAGAGCATATGCTATAAGAAATAAAGAAATGTAGATCAATGTATGTATAGGCCCAATACAACTGAGCAATTTTGCAAAATCTTATGGTTAAAGAAAAAGAAAACAAAAGAAAACTATCAATTGCATAGTATAGTACTTCAAATCTTCGATCCAATCTGGTATACTTTGTAGAACCCAGTTTAAACATTGAAGCCTTCGGCGCGAAGGCATTTGAGATGAGCCTCTATCCATTTCTTGCAAGCAAATTCACCATGCTCCACTATGCATTCATCCCTCAACTTCTTAGTCTCAGGGCAAGCACAACATATCTTCTTTTTTGGCTTAGAATCAGGCCCCACAGACGTTGCTGGACTTTTGTCTTCTGGTGATTTTGGTAAAGCTATTGCACACGATGAGCTCTCTATAGGCAGTCCACCCATGGTGAAGATATCCTGTATGATATTTAATAAGAACATGAGAATGATAGCTAAACAAGCAAGGCTTTTCAAGTAGAAGCACAGGCACCCAATGCCAAACTTACAAGCAAGCATCTATCACAAAAAACAAAACAAGAATGTATTCATCTTTCAAGCAGACCTCAAAATTTAATCAACATTTACATTAACCAGGATCCAGACAGGAAACCAAAATCACAAACACTGATGGAATCCATGCATCATTACAGAACCCAAATCATATTTCTCTTTTCTGAAATTTTTCTGGACTTCTCAGGTCAGCCCGCATACTAGTTTTAAAACTTTGTGTGTGTGTGTGTGTATAAACACATAACATATACCATAAGACCATTCTGAGAACACACAACAAATAAAATAATGCAGGTTCAAGCTCAGACAGTAACGGGCTGAAGGCTCTAAACGGAGAAGAAATTAACTGATTTCGCAAAATGCTTTAACATTAACCGAAATTCCTATTTTCAAATTAACAAAATTGATTTTTTTTTTTATATTAGTCAATTTAAATTTTAAAATAAATATTAAAACAATAAATAAAAAGTCAATGCATAAGAGTTATTACATTAATATATAAATCCATAAAAAAACATTACAAGCACAAAAGAAAAGCCACTCCATGCCCACATCATCCATCCAGTCGTCGATGTTGACATATCCTTCATATTACAGTGTAAATATAAATATATGTCAACTAAAAATCAATATTGCAATTGTCTATTGCATGCTTTTTATTCTTTAATTCAATATTTCTATCTCTATAATTATGTCAAACACTAAATGTTTTACTATTATTTCAAAATTCTTTGGCAGTCATGCTAGAATATTTGCAACAAACTAATCTAGTGAAGTATTCAACTTGCATATTCTCAAGATAACAAAAATTACTTGATCCTTTATATATATACGTTTACAGAAATTGCAGGCAGCAGGCAGAAAAATCACAGCTAGGTGTAATCTACGAATGAACTACAATAAAACAAATCAATGAATTCTAGGTTCACAGAAATTGAATTTCCATTATGAACAAAAAAAAATAATAAATATAGAACAAAATAATCAAAACCCGCAAAGGAAGCAACACTGACGGAAATTTATACACGGGCAAAATAATCAAAATCCATTACCTGAACTCTTGAAGTAGCGAAGGCGGAGGCGGAGCAGGCTACAGGCGAAGGCTGAACACTGGACTCTGGAGCAGAAACTAAAGTCTGATGAAAAAGCAGAGGCGGAGAAGGCTACAGCGATTCCGGCGAAACCTAACACGGTAGGAATGTTCAAACTTTTCCACAATTTAGGTATGTATTCAATTATAACTTTTGGGACGTGTGGTTCAAGTTATTCAGGATAACAAATGTTATACTCTCCGTCCCTAATTGATTATCTTACTTGTTTTTCACACAATTTTTAATACAACATAACAAATGTTATTAACTTTTCAATTTTGTCCCTCAAAGTAAATATTGTTTGTATAAAGTGCAATTGTATTTATCTTTAGAAATTTAAAAAATTAAAAGGGTAAATTGAAAAATGTAGATTGATAGTTATGTTCAATTTTAGAAATATGATACTATTTTGGGGCAAACCAAAAAGAAAAATGGGACGAAGGAAATATTTGATACGTTATATAACATTTATATGAGATTCTTTACTTTTTTACCTACTTTGTTTTTTCATTTTAAGGATGATGTATTTAATCATGACTTTTATAGATTTTTTATAAACTTTAAAAGTTTTGAGGTATCCGATTCAAACTTTTATGAAGCATTTGGATCACAGAATGTTATATTATTTCAGGGAATATTAGATTGTTGAAAATGTTAGATTACTGGGATGTTATATTCGTGTTTGGTTTAAAACTGAGATATGTAATATAAATTTGTTTGGTTGAATAGTTATTTTTTTAATGAGTAAATACCTCCAATGATACTCCTAGTATTAGCGATTTATTAGCTATGGTCATCCGAGTTTTAAATGACCTACAATAGTCCTCCATGTTTTAAAAAATAATCACCCGTGGTCCTAATTCTTAAAAAACCCCGAGTTTAAAATGACTATGGGACGTCCTAAAAGGACCACATGTGGTTATTTTTTAAAAACATGGAGGACCATTGGAGGTCATTTAAAACTCAAATGACCATAGCTGGTAAACCGATAATACTCGGAGGACAATTGGAGGTATTAACTCTTTTTTTAATGGTATGATGATAAATTTAGAATTAAAATAAACAAATAAGACAATAATAAAATATAGAAGTAAATAATTTAAAATTAATTAACTAAGAGTTTGAACAATAATTAACTATGCAATGGATTAATATGACAAAATTAGCAATAAGACAAGAGAATGTGAGAATACCTAAAAAAAGGGGAGGGTATCTCACATTCCCTTGTAATAACTAAGGGGGCGTTTGGTTCATGGAATGTTAGATTACCTTAGGAAAGAGTCTTTAAAAGTCATGTGGCATTCGATTAAGACTTTTAAAGTCTTTAAAAGTCATGTGGTATTCAAAAAATTATGAATTTGTGTAGACTTTTTAATTTTAAAACTTTTGTAGACTTTTATTTCTCAAATATAAACAGTTGAAATCCAACCCTCCACCCCAAGATTTAAAAATTTTCTTTCTCTCACAACTCTAAGGGGGGGTGTATTCAAGCATGAGTTTTGTAGAGCTGCTACATTTAAATTTTATGTATGGGGAGGTGGGTTTGTGTTGAGAAAGGCCTGGTTATT